GGCTGGTTTTGAACTCCTGACCATGAGCAATCCGCCCATCTCGGCCTCCCAGAGTGCTAGGATTGCAGGCGTGAGCCACTGCCCCTGGCCTGCCTGGAATTTTTTAAATAGCAGCTTAATTGACATACGATTCATGTATTGTTCGCATCACCCATTTAAATTGTAGAATCCACTGGTGTTTAGTATAGTCACAGGGTTGTGCAGCCATCACTACTGTAATATTAAGTCCCAAACATTCACATGACCCTAGAGGAAGTCCTGTTCCCATCAGCAGTCACTCGCCCCACACCTCCACCTCCCAATTAATTTCTTTCTATTTTTATAGTAGAGACAGGGTCTCGCTCTTGCTCAGGCTGGTTTTGAACTCCTGACCTCGAGCAATCCGCCTGCCTCGGCCTCCCAGAGTGCTAGGATTACAGGCGTGAGTCACCGCACCCTGCCCATATATTAAAATTTAAAAGTACATAAAAACAGGTACAAAAGGAGGCCTGTTTTTCTGCTTGGTCGGTAGGGATCAGTGCAGCCCTGTTCACCGGCACCATCCTACCCTCTGTTGCCACCAGCAGCCCGGGGATGTTTTGTGGACACAGGGGCTGGTTTGACTCCTGTCTGGGCCTGGGAGGGCGCTGGGAAAACACCCACCAGTTGGAGGAAGCAGCAGGTAGGTTTCCCGTGGGCAGGGCTAGAGCTGGAGCCACATCCTTGGTGTTTGCCGCCCTCTGGTGGCAGTGTACATCTGCTCCTCTGCCTCCACGCAGGAATTGCATCTAAGTCCCTGGTTGTCTGGTGAGGGCTGGCTTACTTACTTGGTCAATAGCAACAGTGATCAACATGTATTCAGCAGTGATTGTTCTCCAGGCACCTGGTAACCCTCATAACATCCCCTGGCACGGTGATGCCAGTGTGGCTACCTGTACTGACAGATAAGGAAACTGAGGCTGAGAGAAAGGGTTGGCCTTGCTCATGGGCACCTGGGGATAAATGGCAGAGGGGGGACTTGATCCTGGGCTAGGAGCCTGAGCTCTCAACAGTGAAGAGGAACCTGAGGATGCTGCTTGGGGCCTGGAGCCAGTTGCCTGGAGCCAGCTGAGCCTGAAGCTGGCTCTACTCAGACGTTTCAGTTACAGGAACCAGTAAATCCCGGTTTTGCCAAAGCCAGTTTGAGTTGCTATGGAGAGACCCTTGGCCATTGCCAAATCTGATGTTAGTTCTAACCCCGTTCCCTCCCATCTGCTGTGAGAGCCTGGATGAGTTACTTAACCTCTCTGATCTCATGGCCCCCTCTGTGTAATACCTCTGAGAATGTAGTGGGCAATGACCTTCATCTAAGCTGTCATTGCTCATAAGAGCCTGGTCTATATGTTTGTTTTTTTGAGACAGAGTCTTGCATTGTTGTCCAGGCTAGAGTGAGTGCCGTGGTGTCAGCCGAGCTCACAGCAACCTCAAACTCCTGGGCTCAAGCGATCCTTCTGCCTCAGCCTCCCAAGTAGCTGGGACCACAGGCATGCGCCACCATGCCCGGCTAATTTTTCGTACATATATTTTTAGTTGTCCAATTAATTTCTTTCTATTTATAGTAGAGACGGGGTCTCACTCTTGCTCAGGCTGGTCTCGAACTCCTGACCTCAAGCAATCCGCCCGCCTCGGCCTCTCAGAGTGCTAGGATCACAGGCGTGAGCCACTGCGCCTGGCCTATATGTTTTATGTCTATGGATGCAATGCTTTCTTACCACTTTGAATTTTCTTTTTCTTTTTAAAATTTATTCATTCATTCATTTATTTTTAGTAGAGACAGGGTCTTGCTCTTGCTCAGGCTGGTCTCAAACTCCTGAGCTCAAGCAATCCTCCTGCCTCGGCCTTCCAGAGTGCTGGGATTACAGGCGATGAGCCACTATGCCCAGCCTGTTTTGCTTTTTAGATCGTAGTAAGGCCGGGCGAGGTGGCTCACGCCTGTAATCCTAGCTCTCTGGGAGGCCGAGGTGGGCAGATTGCTCAAGGTCAGGAGTTCAAAACCAGCCTGAGCAAGAGCGAGACCCGTCTCTACTATAAATAGAAAGAAATTAATTGGCCAACTAATATATATAGAAAAAATGAGCCAGGTATGGTGGCGCATGCCTGTAGTCCCAGCTACTCAGGAGGCTGAGGCAGCAGGATGGCTTGAGCCCAAGAGTTTGAGGTTGCTGTGAGCTAGGCTGACGCCACGGCACTCACTCTAGCCTGGACAACAAAGCGACACTCTGTCTCAAAAAAAAAAAAAAAATCGTAGTAACACTTACCATGACATCTACCCTTTTAACACATTTTTTTTTCTTTTGTAGAGATGGGTGTCACTATGTCGCCCAGGCTGGTCTCAAACTCCTGGCCTCAAAACTGATATTGCAGGCGTGAGCCACCGTGCTGGCCTTAACACATTTGTAAGTGCAGGATGCAGTGTTCGTCGCGCACAGAACGGGGTCTCCGGTCCTGTCGGCCCAGACGAGCTTGTGCAACACAGTTTGACCCCTGGAGCGACGGCCTCACTGTCGCTGTGTTTATAGTGAGCTGTAAGTCGGGTCCTGCCCACCTGCCAGCGGACCAACCATGTGGTCCGTCCACACGGAGCATCACTCAGCCACGAAAAGGGACGAGGCTCCAACACAGGCCACAGCGTGGAGGGACCCTGAGGACCTCGTGCTCAGTGAGAGACGCCAGACACAGAAGGACACGCGGTGTGAGACTCCATTGATACGAAACATCCAGAACAGGCAGATCGCCGAGACGGGACGTGGATTCGTGGTCGCCAGGGGCTGGGGAGGGGGTGGGGAGGGACTGCTGATGGGGACGGGGTTCCCTTTGGGGTGGTGGAATGTTCTGGGATAGACAGAGGTTGCACAACTCTGTGAAGATACTAAAATCCACCGAATCGTAGGCTTTTTTTTTGAGACAGAGTCTTGCTTTGTTGCCCAGGCTAGAGTGAGTGTCGTGGTGTCAGCCTAGCTCACAGCAACCTCAAACTCCTGGGCTCAACTGATCCTCCTGCCTCAGCCTCCCGAGTAGCTGGGACTACAGGCATGCGCCACCATGCCCGGCTAGTTTTTTCTATATATATTAGTTGGCCAATTAATTTCTGTTTATAGTAGAGACAGGGTCTCGTTCTTGCTCAGGCTGGTTTTGAACTCCTGACCTTGAGCAATCCGCCCCGCCTTGGCCTCCCAGAGTGCTAGGATTACAGGCGTGAGCCACCACGCCCGGCCCTGTAGGCTTTTAAATACACGATTTTATGTGATGATGAGTTTTATGTGATGAGTAAATTTTATCTCACAAGAAACAAAATCACAAAAACCACTTCAGGGAGGGTGGAGCTGGAACGCACGGAACACACCCAGATCACCGGCTCTTGGAGGAGAGGCGGTGTTGCGGCCCGGGCAGCCCCTGGTGCCCTGTGGCCACCCCAGGGGGATCGACACCCTGTGTGCTGGTGGGCGGGGAATTCCAGGCATTGCCCACGCCCTGGGGACAGCGGTGGGACTCAGGCTGGGGTTGCCTGTGGCGTAAATGTCTGAGCACGTGGCCTGCCCAGCATGACCAGGCCCCTGTGGCCCTGTGCCCCAGACCCAGGCGACCAGGCCCCTGTGGCCCTGTGCCCCAGACCCAGACAGCGGCCGGCTCCTCTTTCAGGCCAGCGGAGAATGCATCCTGCTTCTGGGAGGCTTTGGGACAAGGAAGGGGAGAGGGAAAAGAAAGAGAAAGAGAGAGAGCGGGGAGGGCGTGACAGAGGGACACCAACCCCGACTCTAACACCTGCTTCAGAGATGCAGGGACAGACGCAGACAGAGCTGGGGACAGCCGGTGCCGGCCGAGCTGCAGCCCGGGGTTGGGTGAGGCTGGGTTAGGGTTAGGACGGTGGCGTGGCGCAGGGTGAGGCCAGAGTGGGGAGTGGACGTCACTTCCTGAGCGGAAGCGGCGCTCAGTGGTGTTTCTGGAACTTCCACAACCCAGGGCCACCGGACAGTCGAGAGGGAGTCCAGGAGGCCTCGTGCAGGGGACAGCCTGTGCGACAGTCCTGGGCGGCCCTGGCACAGGTGATGGAAGGTTGGTGGAGAAGGAGGGACACAGAGACCCTCTGTGGTGGGCAGAACAATGGCCCCCAAAGTGTCCACATCCTGGTACCTGGGGCCTGTGGGTGCGTCACCTCCCATGGTCACAGGGACTCGCAGATGGGATTAGGTTAAGGACGTTGAGACTGGAGGTGACCCTGGGTGACCGGGGCGCCCAGTGTCAGCACAGGGTCCTCCCACGAGGGGCGGGAGGGGTGGGCAGAGAGACTGGAAGACGCTGCTGGCTCTGGGGGGAGGAAGGGCCCTGGGTGGAGGGACGGGGCGGGAGACGGCTCTGCCTGGAGCCCCCGGAGGGAGCGGCCCTGCCACGCCCTGACTTTAGACTTTTGCCCACTGGAAGTGTCAGGTAGTAAATGTGTGTCACTTCAAGGTTTGTCGTGATTTGTCATACTGGCCAATGGAGACACGCCCTCCCAACAAAGGGTCAGAGGGGCGGGCTGGGCGCAGGAAGCCGTGGGACCCCCCAGGGTGCGTGAGGGCCCTCCTTCCTGCGGGAGGGACGCGCCCACGCTTCTCCCCACAGACACAGGGCCCGCCTGTGTCACACGGGTGTCCCCGGGGATGGGGTCCTGCCCCTCCCTCCGTCTCCGCCTGGCCATACGCAGCCCCTCCGCCCCCTTGCCTGGCGGCTGGGGGCCCCCACAGCCCCGCCCCTGCCCTAGCTATTTCAGGCCGCATCTGCCGCCTGGCCGCGTGGGCCTCCCTGAAGATGGGTTTCTTAAAATAGCCGTTGTCGCAGCTTTCCCTGCAGCAGCGGGCGCTGGGGAGCCGGGCCGGGCGGGCGCGGGGCATGAGTAACGCCGGCTGCTCCCAGCAGGGCCGGGGGTAGGGGGCAGGGCCGAGGCCTGTCCTGGGGGGTCTGAGGACGTGTTCCTGCCGCAAGGCGCCAGATCTGATGTCCGTGTCCTTGTGCTGACAGCCCCACCTAAACCAGCTCGTCTGCCTGGGCCTACCATTATCCCCGTGTGCGGAGGGGAAACTGAGGCAAGGGCGGTCAGGGCATCCCCCAAGGCCACAGCCTGAGCAGCAGGACCCAGCCTCCCTGGGAGTGAGCCTGGTATACATGTGGAGCCCAACTAATCACCCCTCCAGCCTCCCCTGCCGCCATGTGGGCTGGGGACTCAGCAAGTGCTTAATAAATGCTCCAAGTACCACCACCGACATGGTAGCCAGGGCTAAGTGAGCGAGCCGTTAGGGGAGGTTGGGTCCATGGCCGGCGTAACAGAGGCGGCCACTCACGATTCAGTCGCCCAACAAGCACGCACTGAGCCCCTCCTGCATGCCGGACGCCGGGGACGCCCCACGTGGCCCCAACACCCCATCGCGGGGCTCGTGGCGCAGTGGGGTGGGGTCGCCCAGAAAATGCAGACAGGGAGGCTCCGCTGCTTCATCGCAGCAGGCGGGCGGGCAGGTTTATTTCTCAGCGGACACGGACAGTTTGGGGTGTGGCAGAAAGCCCCCTTCGGCCCCCAAATGGAGCCTTTTATCTGGCAGGCAAAGGGGGACCCTCCTCCGGGGACCCTGCTGATGTCAGAGCTTACGCCCCGGGGTCTCCTCTCGGATCCGGATTCCTCCAACCCAAAGCTCCTGGGGGCCCAGTACGCCACCTCCCTCCCCAGGGTCGCTCCGCCCTCCCGCCTTCCCGGCAGAAACCAACCACTTCTGAAGTTGGCAGCTCCTTATTTCCCGCCAGAGCGTTTGGCAAAGTCTCACAAGCAAAAAGGATTGGCGGGAGGCCCATTTCATCCCTAGCTGTAGACCCCGAAAGTAGAAACGTTTCTCCAGGAAAATAAAAAATGGAAAAGAAAACCCTCCAGCCCCAAACGAATCTCCCACGGGATTGTTGGCACAAGATTTGTGGTTCTCGGATTGTGGATTGAAACAGGGACTGTTACAGTGGGGGCTCGGGGGACAGGCTTGGCAGTTCCCACAGGGGTCAGGGCAGGAGGGTGGGCTCCCTGTCCCCGAGCTCAGTCCTCGTCCTCACTAGCGTAGATGCGGGATTCCCAGCGTTCAGCCATGGCGTTCTTGTGGCGGGTCACCCGTGTGGCTTCCAGGATCTGCACGAGAGACATGAAGTCCCCCATCAGGTTCCGAACTCCCCCAAGAGATCTCCCCTCACTGCCATCTTATAAGCCTAGAGCAGGGGTAAAGTAGCACAATCCCCTCCTTGGTTTCAGACCCTCTACTCCTAGTAATGTGACCAAAGAGTGTGGTAACTCATGCTGCGTTCCATGGCAGGGAAGACACCTGGGTCTGGCGTTTTGGATCAGTTCTAGGAGGGCCACAAACATATTCCATATATCAACTGGGGGAGCTGGGCTTCTACACACATGCAGATGCCTCACTCCCTCAAAGAAAGTGACTTTGTTTGGGGTCTAATCTGCTCGAAAGTCTTCACCATCTGGTAAAGAGGTTTCACCTGAACATTTCTCCTAATCTATGCCCGTGGCAGGCATCAAGAGCAGATCACAGCAAAATCCACCCAGGCAGACAGTAGTAATTGATAAGATACCAGAACAGTCCCCACGCCCAGGAGACAGGGGCTTTGGACAGCCCCTGTGTGCTTGGACCCGAGAGGGGTAGGCCTGAGCCCTCACCCCCAGGAGTGCACTCACCTCCGAGTTGATGCCATCCAAGGGGTTGATGCCGGCGTACTGTGGGGAATGAATGAGTAAGCAGGGGCTCTCCTGCCCTGCCCAGGATTCCACACCCAGCCCCTCCTCCATCAACACGTGGGGCAGAAGGGAAGGCGTTCCCTGCCCACGGAGTCACTGCAAGTATCCCATGATCACCCCAGACTCAAGGCCACCCTCCACGCTGTTCCCTCATACTGTTCCCTGTAGTGCAGCCTCTGCCCGACATTCCCAATGATTATCCCTTATAACAAAGACGGCGGCATCTGTGGCTCTCTGACTGGCCGAGCGCCTGACACACACGACCCGTTTCATCTTCCCACAGAGGGTCAGACGGGGACTCATTTTATGGAGGAGGAGACCCGGGGCCAGAGAGGGGCAGCAGCTTGCTCAGGGCCACACAGCCACAAGTGGCAGGGCTGAGACTGCACCGGCCACTGGTCCCGTCCAGGCTCCCAGGTGGGGCTGTGAGCAGCAGGCGAGAGTGGCCGGGGTGCGTGTCCCTCTCTGTGGCGTCCAGGGGGAGCCCAGGGAGGCCTGTGGCCTCTTGGCTACCAAGGTGGGATTCGGGGTCGGGCTGGGGTCGTGAGCTGCATGACCCCGGGCATCGAGGGCACCGCGGGGCCACGGCTGCGGCTCGTGCCGCGCCCGAGTGGACGCGTGGCACGTCGCACCTGCAGCGTGGATGACCATGTCAATAATAAACAAAGGTGAAAATACTAAACACATTCAAATGACGATGGTGACAGTGATGACAGACTGTCCTTTGATGACCTCACGGTGGGGAAAAGACCCCTCTCGGTGGCCCCTGAGAGCAGAAACCAGAACCGCAGAGACGCCCGCTGATCGCCCCACACCTGACATGGGGGCGACTGAGGCACAGCCCTGCTGGGGCAGTGAGAGGGACAGCGCGTGAACACAGGTCACACTTGGGTTTCCGCGGCCGTGACCGGGGGGCCGTCAGACCTCAGCCTGGGCCCGGGCCGGCGCCAGACTCACCCACTGCTCCTTCTTAGTTCTCCGCCCGGCAGCGCTGTCCGCCGCATCTTCGTTGGCCCAAGCCACACCCGAGTGCGGGTGGACGGGGCTGGAGAAGGGTGACTCGGACACTGAGTAGCTGCCCATGATGCCTGGAGAGGCAGGAGGGGGCGTTGGGAGGGTGGAACCTGGGGAGACCCCAGCTGGGGACAGGGTCTCTGACCAAGTGGCCGGAGAAGTTAGGGAGGCAGGGGGATGGGCAGAGGGCCACCGCGCCAGGTGAAATGCATGATTTCAGGCCAGGTGCGGTGGCTCACGCCTGTGATCCCAGCACTCTGGGAGGCTGAGGTGAGAGGATTGCTTGAGGCCAGGAGTTTGAGATCAACATGGGCAACACAGCGAGACCCCATCTGCACTAAAACTAGAAAAACTTGCTGGGCCTGGTGGCGTCTGTAGTCCCAGCTACTTGGGAGGCTGAGGCAGGAGGATTACTTGAGCCCAGGAGAAGGAGGCTGCAGTGAGCTGTGATGACTCCACTGCTCTCCAGCCTGGGTGACAGAGTGAGACTCTGTCAAAAAAGAAAGGAAAGAAAGAAAGAAAGAGAGAGAGAGAGAGACAGAAAGAAAAAAAAGAAAGAGAAGAAAGGAAAGAAAGAAAGAGAAAGGAAAGAAAGAGAGAGAAAAAGAAAGGAAAGAAAGAAAGCAAGCAAGAGAAAGAAAGGAAAGAGAGAGAAAGAAAAGGAAGGAAAGAGAGAAAAAGAGAGAGAAAGAAAGAAATGAAAGAAAGAGAAACAAAAGAAAAGAAAAGAAGAAAAGAACCATTATTTCATATTGACAGGAGGGGCTATGGACCAAGAGGTAAAATGTCTGTGAACATTTATGCGCCTAACAACAAGGCACCCAAATTCATAAAGCAGAACCCTCAGGGCGCAGCCGACAGCCGTCTCCAAACTCTCCAGCTACGTCGAGCAGGGGACGGAAGGTCACGGAGCCGTTGCGGGCCCAGCCCTCCCGACATCCCCAGCCGCGCCGCGCCGCCCCTCTGCTCCCCGCGAGCCCCAGCGGGGCGGCCTTCGCAGGGCCCGTCCTCACCGGACGCCTGGGAGGAGCTCCTGGAGCCGAGGCCGAGGTCGCAGCCCTCCCTGGGCGTGGGCGAGAAGACCTCGGGGAAGAGCGCGCTCCTCCTCTCCTCCGCCACCTCGCGCTCCCGGCGCAGCACGCTCTCCACCTCCCTCTCCAGCAGGTCGGACGACGGGGACCTCTGCAGCCTCCACGCTGGGCCCGCGGGCCCCTCCCGGCCCCGGCCGCGGGCGTGCTCGGCCTGCGGGGGCGCGTCGGGGGCGCGGAACCGCAGGGGCCGCAGGCGGAAGTACTGCCACCGCACCACCCCGCCGTCGGCGGCCGCGGGCCCCCGGGGGCGCTTCGGGCGCTCCTGCTGTGCGCTCAGCGGCTTTCCAGAGGATTCCGAGAAATGCCTCCGGGACCCCACGGCCTTGGGAGAGGACACAGCCGTGGCCGCCTCCGCGGAGAGGTCGCCGGGCTTGCCGGGCGCGCCTCCCAGGGCAGAGCGCTCGGGCCCGGGGCTCCCGGGGTGGAGGTACGGCTGGTAGGCGTCGGGCGGGATGCGGTTCACCTTCCGCACCGCCGGGACAGCGTCGGCCGCCCGGGCGTCCGGGCCCGGGCCGAGGATGGCGTCCGAGCTGAGGGCCCTCCGGAGCCCAGGCGGCGGGTCCTCGGGCGCCCAGTCGGACGCGGCCGGCCGGCCCACCTGCAGGCCCTCCCGCCGGTGGTCCTCCTCGCGCTGGGTGCCTTGCGCCATGTCCCGCTGCACGTAGAGAGACGGGCGCCCCCGGTCGCGGCGCGGGGCGGCGGCCAGGCTCACCCCGGTCAGCAGCGGGCGCGCGCGGATCTCCACCAGCTCCGGGGGCCCGGCCGGCCGCCGCAGCCCCCTCTGCGCGCGCAGGTCCGCCTCGCGCTCCTGGGCCAGGCGGATCTCCCGCTCGATGGGCGTCTCCTTGGGCGCCTCCGGGGAGTCCGCCCGGTCGCCCCCGGCCTGGGCGCCGGCGGGCGAACCTCGCGGACGCTTCTCTGCCCCGACCGCCGCCTTCACCTGCGGCGTGAGCGGGACTGCAGACCCGTTGGCCAGGTGGGGCCCGTTGGCGGCCTTGGGGGCCTGGCCGGTGCCCGGCGGGGCAGGTGTGGCGGGCATCCTGGCCGGCGGCTTTCGGGCGCCCTCGGTGCTGGCCTGCTCCAGGCTCAGGAACTGCTGCCTCGCGGCCAGGAAGTCGATCTGCTCCCTGTCCACGGCGTCCTCCTCCGGGTGTGGCGGCCGCAGCGGGCCCGGGGCCCCGGGGTCTCCCCGGTCAGGGGTGCCCCGGAGCGTGGCCACCGTGCCACTCCTCCTGACTGCCTGGCCCTGGATGACGGCCCAGCGCTCCCGCTCCAGGTCCCACGGCCTCCCGGAGAGGGTGTCCCTGGCGCCCCGGTGGTACCCCTGCACCTCCAAGTCCTCCTCGTCCTCCGGCTCCGCGGCGTAGCTGTGCACGCCCCAGGACGCCCCTGTCCGCGCCACGTCCGGCCAGGCCTCCCCGGCTGCGGGCCACGCCTGCGGCTCTTCCTGGCCCCAGCCCCCGGCCTCGGGCCCCACGCCCACCAGCCGGAACGTGTAGCGGGTGTCCCCGTCCAGCACCAGGCCGGTGACTCGAGGGGAGCCGGGCGTGGCCAGGATGGGGTGTCTGGTCACTCGGTCCATCTCCTCAGGTTGTGGAGGCCTCTGGGCGCTCTGAGCAAGGAGAAGAAAGGGACACCCGGGTCAGCGCCCGTGGGGGGAAGAATAACTTCCAGCCCTCAAAGGCAGAAGCCGCAGCCGCAGGCATCTCCTATCCCAGCCACGCTCCCTGTCGCCCCGCACTGCGCTGAGACCCTTCTGCGATTCCTTTCTTTTCTTTTTGAGGCAGAGTCTCGCTCTGTTGCCCGGGCTGGAGCGCTGTGGCGTCAGCCCAGCTCACAGCAACCTCAAACTCCTGGGCTCAAGCAATCCTCCTGCCTCAGCCTCCTGAGTAGCTGGGACTACAGGCATGTGCCACCATGCCCGGCTAATTTTTTTCTATATATATTAGTTGGCCAATTAATTTCTTTCTACTTGTAGTAGAGACGGGGTCTCGGTCTTGCTCAGGGTGGTTTTGAACTCCTGACCTCGAGCCATCCGCCCGCCTCGGCCTCCCAGAGTGCTAGGATTCACCTGTGAGCCACCGCGCCTGGCCTAAATATGTTTTTCTATATATTTTTAGTTGGCCAATTAATTTCTTTGTATTTTTAGTAGAGACGGGATGTTGCTCTTGCTCAGGCTGGTTTCGAACTCCTGACCTTGAGCGATCCTCCCGCCTCGGCTTCCCAGAGTGCTAGGATTACAGGCGTGAGTCACCTCAGCCAGCCAGATTATTTTCATTTGACATTTGCAGATGGCCCCTTGCTGAGCAATGTCAGGTGGGGAAACTGAGGCCTGGAGAGGGACAGTGACTGGCAGAGCCTCCAGTTTCCTGGCTCTCACGTCCAGATCTCTCCCCTGCACCTGCTCAGCTGGACGCCTTGTCCCATCCCAGCCAACACCCCCACCCCACCCCGCACCATAAGGCCAGGACCGGCAGGGGAACGCCCTGGACCTTGTCACACTGGGCATAGGTGCCATCTAGGTGGCACCTTGACCCAGTAACCCCAGCCCTTTCCCAGGGGTCCAGGTTCCAGGAGCCTCTGGAAGGTCACACCCTTGCCCTCACACTCTTGTGCTCCCAGCGGCTCCAGGATACGGTTCTCACACCTGGCCCAGGTGCTCCAGGCCATCGTCTGGACTCACCACAAAACCCCAGATGTGGCCAGGCATGGTGGCTCACGCCTGTAATCCTAGCACTCTGGGAGGCCGAAGCAGGTGGATTGCTCAAGGTCAGGAGTTCAAAACCACCCTGAGCAAGAGCGAGACCCCGTCTCTACTATAAATAGAAAGAAATTAATTGGCCAACTAATATATATAGAAAAAATTAGCCGGGCATGGTGGCGCATGTCTGTAGTCCCAGCTACTCGGGAGGCTGAGGCAGGAGGATCGCTCGAGCCCAGGAATTTGAGGTTGCTGTGAGCTAGGCTGATGCCACGGCACTCACTCTAGCCTGGGCAACAAAGTGAGACTCTGTCTCAAAAAAAACAAAAACAAAAACCCCCCAGACGTCGCAGGTGCCTCTGCTCCAAACCCAACCTCCTCCTGCACTCACAGCTCCCGACCTTGAGCCCTGGGAGTGATATGTCCTCCAGGAAGCCCGCCCCATTGTCCCTCCCCCAGAGCCGAGGTCCCTTAGGTGCCAGGGCCTGCACTGAGCACCCAAAGGTGTACCTAAGCACCCTTGAGGACAGGAACCTTCCCCAAGGGCACAGGGACTTTGGAGCTTCCAAAACAGCCCGGTTGCTCCTGCCTCTGCCGGAGCTGTTACTTGGATCCGCTGCCTCCACACGGACCGTGTTTAAGGCCCAGCTGAGCCTCCATCCCACGGGGCAGTGAACACACAGCTCCACCAGCCCTCTCCTTGGTGGCCCTGCGCAGACCCCGAAGGGCTGGGCAGGTGTCAGTCCTGACCCCGCACCTGGGGGCTCCCTGAGGAGGGCAGGTGACAGCAGGAGCGTCTGGTGAGCGAGCGGAGGTGGTTCCTGGTGGGGCAGGGCACGGGTGGGGGCATCACTTCCGCCCTGCTCATTCCTCTGGTGTGAGTCACCAGCCGGGTGGGTGGGGCTCACACCTGTGCCTCGGGTTCAAGGCCTCAGGGCTCGTTTACAGCAGAAGAAACTGAGGCCCAGAGAGGGGAAGCTGCTGGCCCAGGTGACACAGCAATGACAGCAGCAGGTTCCCACAGGAGCCCTCCTGCCTCCTACAGGAAGTCCCCTGGGCTGCCCCGCCCTGCCCTGCACCTTCTCGATACCTGACTGAAACCAGGTTTATGGTCCCTGGTGCCGCATATCTGCTTCCTCATCATGCCACTGGCTGCCCGCCCGCCCAGGGCAAAGGCCCCCTGCAGGGGTTCTGGCTGGGACAGGGCGGGTCGGAAGCAGGGACCAGGGCTTCCTCTGTCCCAGCCCCCGGCCCCCTGGGCTCTTGGCAGGACAGAGCCCCCCATGCTTGTAGCCACTCTGGCCCCTTGGGGTCCCAGCCTGAGCCCTTGCCCAGTACCCCAAACCTGGGCCGTGCCCCACCTTGATGCTGGGCTCAGCGGGCGAGCCCCCACCCACCCCAGCCGCGCCCAGGCAGAGCCCCCAGCACCCCAGGCGGAGGGAAGCTGCTCGCACCGGCACAGGCACACAGCCCGCCCTCCTCCTGCATCCGGGAACTGCACCCCAGCCCCCCAACAACTGCCCAGAGCCTCCCAAGCAGGGGCCTGGGCGGCACCCACAAGCATCTTCCGGAAGTCCCTGGGATTTGCAGACCCGAGGGGCTCTGGGCTCTGGCCGTGGGTGGGCCCGCCTGGCCCAGAGTTCAAGGGCTTGAGGCCCAAGGCCTGGGGTGGAAACTGAAGCCCCCACAAGGTTTGGGGACGGGGCCTCTACTCCCCGGGGTGGGGGACGGGCACCGACCTGGAGGCCGCAGAGCCAGCCTGGGTGTGGAGTGAAGAAGCTGCCCCAGTCTGAGACCCAAGCTGGGTCGGGGAGGGTGGGGATGGGACCTCCGCGCTCCCTGGGGAAAGAAGACCCTGCCGAACGCCCAGGGACCACCTGCGCGGAACACAGCCCCGCCTCGCCCCACAGGACGCGCCCGGCCCCGGCCCCAAGCCTTACCAGCCCCTGTCCCCAGCGTCCCCAGCCTCCGGCAGCCTCCCAGCCTCAGCTCCACTCAGCAATGGGCACAGAGGCCTCCAGCGCCGCCCGCCCGCCCGCCCGCCAGGTTGCCAGGGCACAGAGGCCCCACCCAGGGAAGCAGGTGTCCTCTTCCTCTCAGCCCCACCTGGACTCAAGAAACAAAGTCCAGGGCGGAGGGAGAAAGACGACACCGGGCTGGGCAGGGGCAGGCGCCAGGCCCTGGGCTGCCTGCCGTGGGCCCAGGGCCCCCATCCAGCCCCCTGGAGCTGGAGCCCAGCCTGAAACCTCCCCCACTGCCACAGCCACCGGGGCCTCCCCCCCGCCCGCCTCCCCGTGCTGCTCAGAGGGGCATGCCACTTCCCAGGGGCACACAGCAGCTCGGGGCCACGGCTGCCTGCTTCTCCAGTGCAGGGAGGGGCTGCCCGCAGACCCCTGTGCCACCCGGCCCAGCCCAGCCTTTGGGGCCACCCCTTCCCTGGACAGGCTGGGCTCCCCAGGCCAGCAGGGCCTAGGCTCGAATCCCCCCTAAACTCTCTGAGCTCGTTTCCTTCTCTGAAAAATGGGGACAGCACAGCAGTGGCCCCAGGCCCCTCCCATGTGGACGCCAAACCAGGCCATCAAAAGGCCTCAGGGAGCCAGGGGGACACGGAAGCCCCCAGGCATTCGCCCTGACTCTAACCCTAACTCTAACCCAGAGAACCTGCCGGAGCCACGGGCTGCCCAGCATCTGCGGGAAGGTTGGGTCACTGGGCCCAGCACTGTCTATGGGGTGGGGGACACAGTGGAGGTGGCTCAGGCTTCAGTCCCCCAGGCTGGGGCTCTGTCCTGACCTGCCCCTTGGCTGGCTGTGGGACCCCTCTGAACCTCAGACTCTTCCTCCAACTCCAAATCCAGCAGGACTATGTGGGTGGGGGGTTAAGGTCAGATCAGGACAAAGGCCCACCCCAGAATAACAGCTTGGGCACCTAACGGCTGCTAGGATGCCCAGCCTTCAAATCCCTCCATCCCTGGTTTGTAGATACGGAAACAAGCACGAGGGCTTCAAGCCCTGCTTAAGGGCACAGAATGGCCCGTGGTTGGGTTGGGCTTTGAACCTGCATTCCCTCCGTTGTATGCACTCCACCACGCTCACATGGGGAAACTGAGGCCCTGGGGGACAACCATCCTCCCCCAGGCTGAGGCTGGCCTCCCACCAGGGTTCCTGTTTCATGGGTGGGGAGACCAAAGCCCAGAATGGGCAGCAGCTCCTCCAAGACCACGCCGCGAGGTGGAACGGGGGGCGGCCTCCCCGAGCATGCAGGCAGGCCTGACAGACGCCTCCCCACCCCGTGTTCCCCAGAGGCTGGTGTCACCAAGAGCTTGGGCGGTGGCTGCGGGGACCATTCCACCATCCCTGGGGCTGAGTCCAGCCCTAGGAGCCTCACGGCCCACGGACAGGGCGGGCAGGTGCAGAGCCCCAGGGCCCCTGGGAAGCAGGAAGCGAGTCTTGCTAAGCATCAGCCCCACCCCCCCAACGTCCCTCCGGGCCTTACCTGTGCAGGTGCAGGTGGGACTCCAGCAACGCCACTCGGCGCCGGGGTGAGCCTAAGGCGTGAGCGTGTGCAGGAGAGGCCCGGAGAGGGGACGCCAGCTCCCCGGACCCCGCTTGGCCTCCCCTTTTATGGCAGCCGGCTGCTGGGGCCCCACCCCCGGCCCAGCCACGCCCTCCCGCCCAGGCGAAAGCCAAGAACTCCAGGAACTGGGGCTGTTCACGCTGTTTATTTGCTCCTCTGGGAAAAAGTCAAGAACATTGGGGGCCTCGTCACACATCGAAAGCAGAAAGGGGGCGGCAAGGGCACTTCAGCGAAGGCTCACGGCTCGAGGGACGCGGGCAGACTCCAGGGAGGAAGAGGAGGGGTGCCAGGTCACCCCCAGAGAGGGCCTCTCCTCCCAGCCACCCAGGGGCAGAGCTCAGACTGGGACCCAGGCTCCTGTCTGAGGTGGCCCCTACACCTGCCCTGCTGAGGCTGCAGGTGGCCACTGGACCCAGAGGTGGCCTGGGCACTGGGCACCAGGCTGGAGGCCCCTAGGGAAGGGGCCAAGACGGAGCCTGGCCGTCCAAAGCCAACACGTGAGAAGAGGGTGTCTGAGAATGTGCACAGATGTGCCTCCAGGGACGAGTGTGGCTGCCCCCAGGAGGGGCGCCCCTTGCCGCTTCCAGTGAGAGGGGCTGGGGCAGGCTCACACTGGGCCCCGGGCAGGCTCATGTCGGGCCAGGGGCAGGCTCGCATCAGGCTGGGCTGGGCCCTGCTGCAGCCCAGGGGAGCCTCCTTGTCCCAGGCTGCTGTGTCCCTCCCTCCACTGCCCGGAAATGCTGCGAGCCCAGCAGACTGGCAGGCAGGGCCTGATCTCTGGGGTGTGGCTGGGGGGACCCAGGACCCTGGTCCAAGCAGGTTGGAGAAGAGGCCAGAGGTGGCCCCTGGGGTCCCCAAATTAGCACCAGGAGGAAGGAGGGCCCAGTGGGGTCAGGAGCTCAGGACAAGAAGCGGCTCACCCGGTCCCATGACTCTTGAATCGCCCATCTGGAAGACAGCCCAGGGGCTACGGCCCCTCCCGAGGCGGGGGCATGTCTCGGGGCTCCCCTCCCCCAGACTCCATTGTCCACTGGCTGGGCCCATAGAGGGCGTGGGGGGCACTCAGGCTTGGGGGGGCCAGAGGGGCCCGTCCTCCATCCCAAGACCTCAAGCCCCAAAGGACGCATGGCCTCACCCCAACTGCCCGAGATTGGGGGGCCAGCGTGTTTCCGGGGAACCCCACAGAGCCCCACTTCCAGGGCCTGAGCAGGCCCCAGGACCCCTCGGCTCCCTGGGTCCCTCTCCGGCGGGGTGTCCCCTCAGAGACCTCATCGGAGGTGGCAGAAAGGCACAGGCGGGAGCCCAGAGGGTGGCAGGCTGGCCTAGGGCTGCACGGAGGCCACGGGTCGTGCCTGCCAGGCCCACGCTGGGCGCGACCCCGCATCTGTGAAGCTGCCGTGACGGGGGGTGGGGGGGGTCTGTCCGTGTCTCTCTCCTACCAGGTGCAGGTGCACGGCTCTGGCTGGGGTCAGTGTGGGGGTGGGGGTGGGGGTGGGCAGGGCCCCGTCCCTCTTTCCAGTGAAAGAAACTCAGAAGGAACACGTGACAACACGGCAAGTCCTGGGGCCCGTGAGGCTGTGGGTGGAGGGTGGGCAGGCGCCGGGAGGGGCCGGGCTGGTGGGTGTCTGTGGGGTGGGGCGGGGGCCGGGGTCCCGGGGCCGGGCCGGCTCACATGATCAAGCAGCATTTACAGCGCTGCTTCTTCATGTCAAGGTCCTGGGGGTCGCTGGTGGTGGCCTCGGGCGCCGCCTGATTCTCTTCCCCTGGGCCCGCAGCAGCGGGGGGCTCAGCGGCGCTGCCGTTGGGTGGCGCGGGCTCCTTGGGCTCGGCCGCGTCCTCGATGACCACCAGCTCCGCCGTGATGGTGTCTTGGAGCCCCAGTACCTTCTTGGTCTCAGCTTCATCCTCCACGTTCTGGTAGCCCATGAAGATCATCGTGACTGGTGGCTCCTGGCCGGGCTGGATGCCTGGTGGGCCAGACGTGGCCTCTCCCGGCTGTGCCTGCACCCCGGTGATCTCCCGCCGGGAGGGCGTGGTCCGCACGGCCTCCTCCATGGCCCCCCGGGTCTCTGCTGCCCCGGCCGTGGACCCTGCCTCACTCAGCGTGACCTCGTCTGCTTTGTGGATGAGTTCGTCCACCTCCGAGGAGCTCAGTGGGTGGATCCCGTTCTCGGCAGTACCATCCACGGCATGGACCACTATGCGAGGAGAGACAGGGAGAGTGAGCTGGCTCCCACACGGGAGGGAAGCCTAGGCTCATCCTTAAGGCCACTGAGGATATCACGAACTAGATTACACATGTACGACTGCTTGACAATTAAAGCTCCCTATTAAGATCTGTGGATGCAGCCAAAGCTGTACACAGAGGAAAATTCATAGCCACAAAAAACCCACATATTAAGAATCAAGAAAAACTGGAAAATGGCTGGTCTGAGTACAGTGGTGTTTGCAACTAATTGATCACAAGTAGTTACAGATTCCTTTGTTCCTTCTGCATTCCCACTGCTTCACTTGACTAGCCTTTGGAAAAAAAGAAAAGAAAAAGTAGAAATAAATGAATTGGGATTTTACTGTCTTTCATTTTGAGGTACAGTTGACCCTTGAACAACATGGGCTTGAAATGCGCAGGTCGACCTATATGCAGATTTTCTTCCTCCTCTGCCACCACTGAGACATTAAGACCAACCCCGCCTCTTCTTCCACCCATTAATTGTGATGATGATGAGGATGAAGACTTTTATGACAATCCATTTCCCCTTAATAAATAGTAAATATATTTTCCCTTCCTTTGATTTTCTTAATACAATTTTCTCAACTCTAGCTTAC